CTTTCACTGGTAACTGGATCACATAAATTCAATCATTTCGTCTGTTACATTCTGTCTCTCTTTGCTTCAATTTTCACTGATGCCAAGATTCAGAAACATGGAATCAACTTCAGAATGATATTTCTTTGATTTCAACTAATAAATTCAGTGTGTGCTAAATGATTACCTGGAGTCCACCATTTACATTTTTAATGATGTCAGTTTTTTTGCATTTCTCTCACTGAAAATGGAATATTCATCAGCAGCTCTGGATAGCAGGCAACCATCAATCAGATTCTGAATCTTGGCAAATCCCATGTATATTTCCTTTGGTGTTGACCCAATAACATCTAATTCTTTGGATTATTTTTAGTCTCCTAAACTAAAGCGTTTAGGAGGGGTTCTGAAATACCTTGCCAAGAAAACTGCAGGGACTTGTCCAGGCAGTCTACAAGAATCAAACACCACTGAATGCAAAAAAAAAAAGTATTAGGAACTTAAACATTGCATCAACTTACATTTAAATCTGCTCTAGAAAACAGTAAGAAAATTGCTGACAAATGTGGGGAGGGGAGTTAAACCAAGCAAATGTACCCGCATTTTTTCCATCTTTTTTTCCCAATAGTACAGTTTACTACAAAAAGGAGAATTTTTAGAAGGCAGAAAAATAGCCTTTATTAGTAAGTCAGTGATTTACTGATAATTAAACAATTACTTAATCAGTGTTACTCAACGTTTTGCAGATTGTTTACTGCATTTTTTTTTTCCAAGGAAGACAAATAAGTATCACAGTAGGCAGAGGAAGAATAATTAAGATGTAGTGATTATGGTCTACAATCCAACATGTAATTGTAAAAAAAATTAAATGATCGCCAAATTTAGCAAGAATACCGCCTAAAAATTCCTTTGTTTGCTGGTGTTCTATAACAATAATAACATGTATGTTTGCCTGAAAGTGATATAAACATAAATCACCCTGTACATTTGTTATATTTATATTGTATCCACGTGCTGTTTTGAATGCACAGATAAATCAGGATAAAATGCTACGCTTCTGTGTCTCAACAATGAAAACTCCTGGGAACATGAGTGAGCAATTTAGTTGTTGGCTGTTCCATGAAAGGCACATCTGTACTGCTGTTGTAATCCCTTGGGATTACAACAGAAAAACAACATAAAACTTATACCTCATTTAAAAAAAACTCCTTTTAAATATGAAAATTAAATAAAAAATAAAAATACAATCTTTCATGGAAGAAACTTATCAGAATGACCAAGGAAGGGCCAACACTAAGCGTGACACCAATGAATCCCATATCAATGAATTCTTAGGAGCATAATTTTCAGAATTCACAAATAAAACAATTCAAGATTTAAACACATATTTGTCTCCCTTTCCCTTGGGATCATAAATTGGAAAGAAAATTTATTATAGAAACATTTAAGTACTTTGAAGGTGTTGTTTAATTGTTGTGGCCCAGCAGGAGCCGTTGGAGCTGCCACCAGACTCCGACAGCGAGGGGCCCTATGAGTCGGCTTTGGAGGATGTGGAGGACCCTGNTGCTTTGCATGTAATGAGTCTATCTCATATATTAGTTTCACCTTTTAAGATGCATTACTGACATAAATGCACTTTTGCATGATATTCTAATTTTTGAGTTTTACCTGTAGAGAGCTGAAGGCCAATGCTGCTTTCAATGTTTTAAATTGAGAAGAGTTACAAAATGATGAAAAATTATACCATAATGTGAAAAGACATAGGAATCCAATCCCTTCTGGTGAGATTATTGTGATTTCAGCTTGAACAGCAATAACTTACAGCCAAACAATCTTTCAAAGTTCATATATGAAGACATTATTGGAGTCTATAAACATTCTGGATGCTATTCGTACAGCATGAGTAAGATATTTATATCAGGGCTGTTTTTTGCATATAAACTAATATAAAATCAACTTTCCAGTTGTACCAGTCCAGTTGTTAATTGTGTCTTTTTAGAAAAATAGAACACAAATACTCACTTTTCATTTTACTGAACCTTTGTGGCAAACCCATTTCTACAGAAATAGATAAAATAAATGTCTAGAACTACATACACATGAAGTACCATAGTAGTAGTACAAAGCAATAGTAGTACCAAGAGTGGACATGGTCATTTTTCTTTTACACAGTGTGTAAGATGGTTGATCCAAACCTATGGGCACATATATTTTTGAGTCATCCATTATTTACAAACAGTTCATGTACAAACAAAGTTGAGAATAATACCTACTTATCAGAAGGAAGACTATACTTAAAGTATGCACTCTGGCGACCTGCATGAACTAATACTTTCCCTTTGAGGTCTATAAACATTCTGAATGCTATTGGTACAACATGAAAAAGATACTTTTATCAGTGCTGCTTTTCACTTATAAACTGTAATGGAGATTTGACAGGCACTCCTGCCATATAATTAAAAAGACCTACATAGCTTTTAAAGAGTCTTGTAATAAGTACAGGTTGAACTATAACATTTTCAAAATCCTAAGGGTTTAATAATATGAGTAGTGAGAAATTAGCTCATTATTTTATTTAGTAATTGCATTTTTCAAAAAGTGCATCCTCTATTAGTTTTTACACTGTAATTAAAAAAAAACTAAGTTGGATCCATTTAAAATGGCATATAATTGGACTAGATATAATCCAGCTGTTATTTTTAAATAAGATTTCATCTAAGAAATTAAATTAAACTTTGTTGTAATGTGTACCTACAAACATAGTTTTCTCTCTGTTGTATTGAATCCCTATTGCCTTATGGTGACTTGGGACCAAATGTATCAGGTAAGTTAATATGCATCTAAGAACTTTCCCCAGTATGTAGACAACAGCTAAACTTAATCCAAATATTTAGAATGATTCCTACTAGAGAAAACAGATGTAACTAGAAATACAAACACAAAATACACACCTAGGAAGACAAGCTAACTTTGTTAGAGGCTGAGGTTAATGAATGTTAATGGGTATCACTGATTAGCCTTCCCTTCTTCCCCCTCCCATGCTCAACAGCTGCAAAAGAGTACTTTAGGCTTCCTTTATAAATACAACAATCTTCCTACTGCTTTTTTTTTTTAAGCAGAAAGGAATTGAAGGAGAAAGACAACAGTCAAGAATAATGCTTTTACTATTGTTTCAGATAGTGTTGATTTCATGGCTTGGAAAAGCAGAGCAAAGAGAAGAAATGCAGCAGAAAAATTCCATACAGGATATGCTCAACAAATATTTAGGGGAACTTGAAGGCATTGGGAGGAAACCTGAGAGGCCAGTGGTACCCTTGGCAGAAATGAAAATCAAACAAGACTTGCCACGAGGTTCTCGTTTCATGTTCCCAGATACAGTTAAGGAAGAAATAGTTGATGATTTGGGAGGCTGGGCTCCTACAAACATAACCCCATCCTCTGTGTATCCAAAACATCCACCTTCTCGCCCACAGAACAAGAGAGATGCAGCGGCGGCCTTCAGAAAGGATGCCAAAAAATTCTGGGACCTTTTTAAATTGAAGAGCAATTCAAGATCTGAAGAGGTGATCCTTCCAATCAAGATGTCTGAGATTTATCAGGAGGTTTGCAACATGCTTCCTTTCTCTCAGGTAAAAATGACTGCCACAAATATAGTATTCTCCTATATCTTATTTTAATTAGAAATAAGCCCTGCTGTACTAAATAGTTCAACCTTATATTATCTCTGGAAAATAAGCTATGTCATGTCCTCCCCCATTTATAGAAGGAAAGTTAAAATAAAGGTGGTAAAAATTTACACTGCTCCTAAGGTGAAAACAAAATACGGATTTTTAATATATATTTTTGCGGGTATCTGGTAGCAAGTGGATTTTTGCAGCTCAAATCTTGTAGCTTAATTTCAGTGAAAGTGGTTTGCTGGTGTTCTTAAATTCAGTCTGATATCTGAAATATTAACAGCATAAAAACCCCAGAATATTGATAGCTTTGGGCTGGAAATTTTTTGTTAGAGTAGACCAGGTTTGTTGTATTGAAATTGCAAAAAGCTGAAAACTGGTGTTTGACTCGTATTATGTTGGAGAATATTTTCAGGAAATTCTTAGGCAGTAACTTTGAGAAATTTGTAGAAATGTCTGTATATTTCAAAGACCCAACAGTTTTCCCCTTTAAATCTTTCTGCATTTCTAATATTGGCTAAGACTGTAAAGTTATGACTTAGTATCTAAAACAATTCTAACCTTTGTATTCCTGGCTTTATCTCTAAAGGTTGTAGGAACATTTTAGTTTTTATATCACTGGCTATTTTTATTCTAACAAAGTACTATGGCAAGTATTTTAACAATGTGTTTCCTTTCAGAGCATTACACATGAAAATTGTGACAAAGTGGTGATACAAAACAACCTGTGCTTTGGGAAATGCAGTTCTTTCCACGTTCCTGGTGCTGATGATCGCATGTATAGCTTCTGTTCCCTCTGCATGCCCACCAAATTCTCCATGAAGCATCTGAAGATGAACTGTACCATGGTTAATCCAGTAAACAAGATAGTTATGATCATTGAAGAATGCAAGTGTGAAGTTCAGAATATGAAAGAAATTGAACCAGGGTTTCTAAAGCCTGCTCTGCATTTGAATGAGCCTTAGCACAAATGAACCTTCTGAAATGACTTGTTTTTTCAATTGAATCTGTAGTTGCTAAGGGCCAGAATACTTGATAAATCCTTTTATAATAGTTTGCATCTGTCTTGATAAAGCTTGTAGCTTATATGAAACAGCACACTCTAAACATAATTGCAGCTTGATATGTTCATTACCAACAATTTTAATGGTCTTCATACATCTTTTTTTTAGTGATATATTGGTATGTTTTATGTACATTTTAGAATAAAAATATTTTGATAAATGTGGAACACAGATTAGGACAGTAATAGTAAACCTATTGAACATTTAGTAGCAAAGCAAAGCTTTCTCTGCCTCCTTCTGCACTATACCAGTAATATTAAATGCATAATGTAAGTATTGTTTATCCACAATAAAATTATGGAATACTGTCTTTATACTTTGAATAAAAATGATTTTTTTAAATTTATGGACTGGAATTAATTATCTCTTACAAAGTACGTAAAGCAACTTTAGCTTCAAGGCTTTTTAACGCTTATTTTTCAAAGTCATGTTTTTAGTAAATTGTGTATTTTTCAGTTTTGAAGCTGTTTAAGATGTATTGTGGCCTGCATTTGGCTACAATAGGGATCCCACCAAACAATATACAATGTCTTATAACGCTTAAATTGCCTTTACCTCTCCATCTTTGTGTATGTGCCTCATATTTAAATTTCAAAGGGGGAAAAAAATCTGTGAATTGGAATTGAAAGAAAATCAGGCTACCAGTTCTGGGCTGCAAATTTCCATATTTTATAGCCCAGCATTGATGGCTCCAAATGTAACATCAAGTTGATTAGAGATTTGAACAGATTTTTTAAAAATGCAATGACAATATTCTAGTATGTGATATATAACCAAAAGAAAGTGATAATTATTACATTTATATGCTGCCCAACTCTCAATAGTAAATATACTGGAAACTCAAGTCCTATTTAAAAACTTTAACTTCCATCAATTCCTTTCTAATATGTACAATTATATGTTATTTCCCCCCATATATTCACATGTAGGTATATACTACTATTTAGTTCAGTAGAACTTTAGATACAAACTCTACAGTATTATGTACATGTGTACATCAATCCCAGTTCTAAAAAGTGTTAAGTTTAAGGTTACTGCTGAGCAACTGAGTAGTGTAAAATTGCTCTAATGTGCAAACTTCAACAGTTAAAGGGGTGTATCAAATAAAATGTAAACATATTTTATTGTGGTCTTTAGCAAGCACCATTACATGGTCAAGAATATCAAATTATTTCTCAAGTATTCAGTTCTCTGAGTGCTGACCACAATTTCTAACCTATTTCTTCTGCCATCCATCTCAAAGGGAATTCTTTTAGAGGAAGAATTTGCTGGATTAGGACTGAAGTGTGAATATTCACCATTTAGAAAGCAAGTGTAAAGAGAAAACAGCAGCTGTAGTAATTGTTAATTAGATTAATGCCTTAGCTGGGGGGTGAGTGTTTAATTAACCCAGCAATGATCAGCTGCATGTAATTAACACTGTATTCTGTTATATCAAGGATGTGTTAATTGGATCTGATTTTAAGAGTCAACTCCCATATTCAGAGCAAGTTAAGCCCAGGTGCTAACAGAATATTGCTTAAAAAAAAAAAAAAAAAGGAAAGGCAATAAATTGCTGCCCAGGGAGAGTGGTCAAGGGTTTCAGTACAATCAAATTTAACCGTACATAGGACATGGGATGTTCTAAAAAGTAGCTGGTGTATTTTGAGTTTTTAAAAGTCAATTTAAATATTCTGGGTTTTCAAAGGTATTTCCAGCGGGAGGAGAAGTAATTAACAGTTCCCAGTTATTGCTATACTTATCTTACTTAAATATAAGTAATTGTCAGCCTCCAGAGTACATTTCCCCCCTGTTTTAAAAATCAAGGTTAATTAACATAAATAGCTGTTCTGGATCACAAATGTTCTCAGTAATGTCTGTAACAATTAGCAAAGTATTGCATATTTATTGTTAGCACAGATTTTAGGAAGGTAGGGGATGCAAAAATTTTTGAAAAATACTGTAATATTTAAACCAGTATAAATGCTAATAAATGCTATAAAACACATTATTGTAAGAAATAGGAATGGGCTACCAATGGTTACAAAATACTCATTAATATGACAGTAAAAAAATCAGTTTCTAGCATTGACAATTATGTAGGCTGTTTGTATTATTATGTATTATGTAGGCCAAAAGCTAACATATTTGACTATTATTTAAAGTCCACATTGAATTGGATTAATTGGTGAGGATTTCATGTGTGAACATGCTTTTTTAAAATCAAACTATTCATTTTATGCTTTAGTCCCTTTGATTAGTTGTAAGTTATTCATATACAAGTGTACTCAGGAGTAACACTTACTAGCTCAACAGTGTTTTCTCAAAGTTGGGAATTGGATTACAGCTTGTAGACACCTTCAAAGCACTTCATCTTTAAGTAAACAGGGCTCATTTCAAAATAGACATGTACTGTCATACAACTGCAATATAAAACCCAGGTTAGTGTAGGAGTTAACATACTGGACAAGAAACCAGGAAAACATGAGTCGTAGTCCTCGTTTAGATGTGAAAACCAACTGGATGATTTTAGCTTGGTTATTTTCTCGCAACTCAGCTTCACAGAGTTGTCATGGGCAAAATAGAAGAAATGAGTATTATATTCACTTTCTGTTGCACAAATTACAGGTAAAAGTATAAGGGTGCTAAAATACTTGCTGTCAAACTTCCTGTATAAGAAGCTAGTTAGTTCAGAGATGGTAGTTTTTAATTGAATGAAGGAGTGAATGAATGAATGAATGAATGAATGCATAGATACATTATTCTTTGTGAAGATTAGTATCTCTCATATATCTTATTATCTAATAACCCAGTCTCACACTCTCTCTAAACTGGTAAACCTGTATCAAGCCTACATTGCTAGAGATTCTGAGCCCATGTAGCACAATGCTTTTTTTCCGCATTAAAAAGGTCCCAAAAGCAATGAAAACTGGCAGGAAGAAATTTAAGATGGAACTGTTCCCCCTTATGTGTGTATTTGTTTTAGCTACAGTACACGTAATATTCCATTTGTATCAATGAACCTACCTACAAATTGCAATGGTATAAGTAAGTCGCCATGTTGCTATTCTGAATACAAACTAGGTCTTTCAAGCAGACATAGTTAAACGCTACTGTTGTGGTGCTGCTCAAAGGCAGTTTACTCTAAATTCAGAGGAACAAAATGTAAGGTTAAGCAACATCAGTGTGTGTGTTTTAAAGCAGGGGTGATCAACCTTTCGGACCTCAGGTACCACCAAATTCATAATTTTAAACCTCGCAGACCACTAATATGATTTTTTTTTAAAAATGTATTTAGTGCAATATAAAAATTGCCAATATTTTTTCTGCGGACCACCAAACTTTTCTCATGGACCACCAGTGGTCTGTAGACCAGTTGCTGACCACTGTTTTAAAGGATAAGGGTGTAGAGCTGTGCCTTTTCTATTCATTTAACATTAAAAATGAACTTTAGTTCTCATCTTTGGAGTAGGAAGCTCATATATGTAGCTAAGATGATCCGCTGGTGTTAATCTTAAACCATTTGTGATGGATGCGAAGGAAAGATGCAGCTTCTGGTTCAAGATGATGTTTAAAGGGTCACCCTGCCAAAATTTCTCATGAAGAAAAGCAGGCTTGTAGACAACACCGTGTATCCCCTTCTCTGGTTGGCTGCCTCCACAAGAGAGCATCAGCTGCTCAGGCACATGGCATGATTTGGGGCCTGCTGATTTAATATTTACAGAGTGCCAATAAATTTTTTATGATGACAGCTGGTGATTCCTGTGGTAATTTATAAACAACAACATAACACAGACATCAGGGAGCCCCAAGAAAGATTCTGCATGGCTGTGCAATATTTAGAAACCTCAGATGCAAGGATTTTTCTCTCTCCAACAAATAGGAGAAGTGTATGTATTTATCCGTTGGTAAGATTTGGAGGAAACCATTGCTGAAAGGCAGCCCTTAGGTACAATTCAAATTAAGGTTATAGAAATCCATTCCAGTTATTCGTATTCTCACTTTTTCAGGACGATGTTCCAGATGGCTTGCAAATTGTATAAACAGCTATAAATAAAATAGCCAAAATATTGAAAAGAAAGACTTTTCTAGGATTCATTCCAAAACAGCAGGAAGATGATGAACATGGCAAGTTTGGTTGAGTAAGCTTTGAGGATAGTCTGCAAGCATGTGGTAGAACTTGGATAGCTGATATATCTTGAAAAACCAGCTTTCTCAGCATTGCAACTAGAAAGTCAATCAAATTGTCCAGCAAACATTACTTTTGCCAATCCTTCCTAATACATTTCAAGCTATTCTTATGATGAACTTTTTCTTATTTTTAATTTAGCCCCTTAGGGAAATGCTTTTTTTTTTTATAAAGGCATGTGTCTATTTAATTTCAGGTAGTCCTCAATTTACAACCATAATCTAATTACAATCATGAAGCAAGCCATCACTCAACTGTACTCAATTTTACACTTTTTGCTGTACGAACATGGCAGTAATCAGAGTTGTCAAACTCATTTTCATTGAGGGCCACACAAGGGTTGTGTTTGACTTGGGAGGGCATGGCCAGGGTAGACATGGCCAGTTCAACATCACTCGTGTTGGGGGCACCTGTGGTGACCCAAGCACTCTGCCAGCGAAAACAGGCTACTGAGCTGTTTTCACATGCGAAGGCCTCCTGGAACCCTCTGCCAGTGAAAACGGAGCTCGGGAGGACTGCCCTCAGCCGTCGTGAGCTCCATTTTCACTGGAAGAGGCACTATGGGCCAGTCCTTTGCTGTTTCCAGGGCGGCCTCGCAGGCCAGATCTAAGAACCCCATAGGCCAGAATCGGTTCCCGGGCCTTACACTCCTCCATTAAACAAATGTTGCAATCATTAAGCAAACTCATTGTTTTTGTGTTTCTTTCCACTGTAAACTAGATGCAGGTAAATTCAGGTTTCTAGCAAAACTGTTGTAAATTGCAGTCATGTGACCACAGGGAGCTGCAAATGGATGTAAATGTGTGATTGCAAAGTGCTCAAAATATGGTCACCTGATTGCATGGGGGAGGAGGCTCACATATAATTTAGGAACCAGATTGTAACTTCCTTTGGCAGGGGTGCATCATAATTTCAAGCAGCCACTAAGCAACCAGTCATTAGTTGACTACCTGCATAAGAGAAAGAAACTAGGAATAAAACAACTGATTAATTGGAAAGGACAGGTCAACACTAATAATACTTGACATCTTGAAGGCTATTTAATTTGAAGTAAAAATAGCCCTCAACCAATAACAATTTTATTACAGGTAAATAAATACTCGACTTATAACCATGTACTTAGTGACCAAAGTTAATCAAAAGTTAAGATGGCACAGAAAAAAGTGATTTATGGCACTGCAAAAAGTGATATTACAACCATTGCAGCATTTCCATGGTCACATGATCAAAATTTGGACGCTTGACAACAGGCATGTATTTACGGCAGTTGCAGTGTCCTGCCCTCTTTTGTGAGCTTCTGACAAACAAAGTGAATGGGGAAGCCAGATTTACTTAACAACCATGTTACTAACTTAATAACTGCAAGGATTCACTTGACAAGAAAGATAATAAAATGGGGCAAAACTCACTTAATAACTGTCTTGCTTAACATCAGAATTGCTAAGCAAACTGGATACACCTATTAACCATTTAGTCTTTATCGCTTTAAAAATATTTCATAGTTGTATAATTCTTTTTCCAAATATGTTGCAAGCTGATAATCTTTAAGCTGCCTATTCACCTATAACTTTTAATGCCAAGCTGAAAAATCGGACTGGCTCAGAAAGGGCAGCCTGCCACTCTGACAGATGGGAGGTGTCTTCACAGGCAAGAGACTGAATATGTGCATCAGTTGTGGGTGCTCAAGGGAGAATTCCCAGCTGGTAGCGATGAAGCTGCCATCCATCCTGATCTGCCTATGGCAATTAGCCATAATTGATTTTGCTCTGGGCAGAATTTGTTTAAAATATTTCTTTTTATAGAAGCCATAAAACATAATTTTTATAGAAGCCATGCAAGATAATTCATTGGACTTGGATAATGTGCTAGAAATTGTGCTTGATGTAATTTTGACTTAATAAAATTCAAAATTAAGTCAAAAGGAATGAAATGTCTGCAAGAAAACAAGCAAGCTCAGAGAGCACCAAGGACCATCCAATTTTGACTTTTGCTGTTTTTTGATATATTTTGACTTTGGTGCATGCATTTGTATGTGTGTGTATACATACCATCCATTGTCCGTCCGTCCGTCCGTCCATCCACCCACCCATCCATCCATCCATCCATCCATGAAACTCACTTAACAACGCTCTTGCTTAGCAACCAAAATGTTGGCTCAGAAATTCTGGCATTTGAAGCACGCAAGTCTTAAAACTGTCAAGTTATAAGACCATTGCCCCCCTGGGTTTTTAGAAAAAAACCCAGGGGCGTTCAAACTTGACAGCTTTAAGACTTGTGGACTTCAACTTCCAGAATTCCTACACACACACACACACACACACACACACACACACACACACACACACTTTTATGACTCACCAGCATCTGCATCTATAGATAAAAGTATGACAATTAAATGTACATTCATTTCACTGTCTCCCATCTATGATCCAACTAGAAGTATTCATCCATCTACAAT